ACACACACACACACACACACACACACACACACACACACACACACGCCTCATGGCCATTGCCCACTCTTCCTGTGTTCCAGTTCCTGGAACATTAGACCCCTGAACTGCAAATGGAACATTAAACAAGGCAGAGAAAATCCCAGGGCTGGCCAGCCAAGTGGGCACCTCTCCTCGGACTCCAGCCCACAAATGACCTTTCATCTGACACAGCCGATTGCCTCCCACTGTAGACCCTCATGCCCTGCGACTTGGTCTTCAGTAACACTCTTGCTGCTTTTGTGACCCATGGGACACCCAGTGCCCACCTACCTTTTCCACCTCCGGGATTCAGGGTGAGCCACTTAACCCGCTTCATGTGGTGGGAGCCTATATTGCTGTGAACTTGCAGAACCTGCTCTCAGCTCCCCCTCCCTGTGCCAGAGACCTGGGGACAGGCGCCCCACTCCATCAAGATCTGCGTTAGCACCAGCAACACCGCTTCCATTCAGATGCCTTCCGTTATGGCCTAGCCACGGAAATTCAAAGCAGAAAGTAATTCAGTCGAGGGGGACATCGCTCGACCTTTCGTGAGTTGTGTGTTGAGAAGCCCTAACTGGACTGGGGCTCAAATGCCTGCACAGCCACAGAGAAGTGGATGGCCAGCCTTGCCCCAGGCTTCTCGCAAAGACCAGCTGGCTCCCTGGCGTGCCTGGGACTCTTGGGATTGGTCAGAGGAAAATCATGGCTTCCTGTGACCTTTCACTCTTCCCCGTGACCCTGCTGAGGGCCCTAGACAGGCTTGGGGAATGCTCCACAGCACCTCCAAATGTCCTGGGAAGAGCAGGAGTGGGGCAGAACACCTGCAGGAGTTAGTACAATCAAACTATTGTTTGGCCAGGCGAGGCCATGTGAGTGTCCACCTGGTACAGTCCGCCTCTGCTGGGCTCAGAACTCTCCTCCCCCTCCTCTGCACTGGGACAGTACCTGTGCTTGCGTTCTGAGTGATGCCCTGCTCGCTGCCATTGCTTGGCCTACCTTGCCTTCTTAAAACTCTTAGGTTGGCTGTTGGCTGGAAACTTGCACAGACTAGTAATTACAGTGTCCTCCGAGGACCCAGGCAGACCTAGTTTTGACAACTGGTAAGATTTAATGTCTTGACGGCAGTTTAGAACTAGGCGGGTAGAACATTAAAAATTTCCCTTCCCAAGAAATAATAAACCCTTTATATTATATGACCAAAGTCTTAAGTATAATAGCTGGCATGGGGTCCAGGCGGGAAGTAACATGTACAACTTTGGAAAAACCCTAAATGTCCGATGATGAGTAAGTGAAGCCGTTTCCCATCCAGGCTTAAAACAGCCTGACCAAGCTGTGAGGGAGCGCATTCAGTGGTTTGGGCTGGTTATTTACATCCATCCATGTACTTGTTTAGAACTGTGCAAGCACTACGTAAATGTGCAAAGTAAGCCCGGTGACAGAAAACTCAGAGGTTGTTCATAGCTCTTATTTTCAGCCAGATCCCCGTTAGAGCCTCACCAAAGCTTCGGGACAGTGAGTCCCTTGATCCCACTGCCACCACTGATGGGCCCTTGTTTAAAAATCCCTGAAAGGTATACAATTTAGGCTCTACTTTTAGACCCAACTTTATCAGCAGCTCACCTCTGACTGGTGGAATTTTGGAAGGCCCCCCCCCCCAACTGTCTATTTTCATAGTTTCCAGTTTTTCTAGTGGTCTGTTGATGTCCACTCAGGGAAACAAATACCCAGTAAGCCAAGGTGGCAGGTTGTCTTCCAACCATGCACACAGAAAGGGCAGGAGCCAGGGGCCCTTTGAAGGCAGGCGGGCAGCGTGGGCTGTAGATGCCTTAACCAGCCCTGCCCTCCGCTGACCCTCACTTTGGCTGTGTGCTGGAGTACCCCGGCCAGCAGTCTCACTGAACCAACCCTCAGAGCGGCAGTCTTGCCCTGGGGCAGAGCCACCAGCAGGACTCTGAACCCCCTTCCATCGAATGGAGAGGAAGCCGTGACTCACCAGTAGCGGACTCAGCTGGTGCTGTCCCAGAGACAGCGGGGCTCACAGCGGCTCGGTCGGACTCTGCCTCTGTGTTGTGGCTGTTTCCGTTGCAGGCTTTCAGAGCCTTGGGTTAGTTATCCTAAGAGACCCACCCCCACCTCCTCCCTTGCAGATCAGAATCTCTGACCACCTTCACCCACACTGAAGCGGGGGTGCTGACATCCTTTGCAGCACCTGGGTCCTTGGTTGGTGCTCATTCTTCCGGGATCTGAGATGGGTTTTCTCTGTAAGCCCGAGGAGGGGCAGGGGAGCTTGTGTCTGTGGGGACCAATGAGGGTGGATGGGGGCCTGTTGGTGCCACCACGTCCTTTTCACCTAGTGACCCTCTGTGACAAAGTAGAACTGCCCCCAGAGGATATCCTTAGCTGAAACGTTTATGGCAGCAGTTCTCAACCCTTTCACAGGGGTCGCCCGATTCATGATAGTAGCAAAATGACAGTTATGAGGTAGCAACAGAAATAATTTTATGGTTGGGGGGTCACCACAACATGAGGAGCTCTATTCAAGGGTCGCAGCATGAGGAAGGTTGAGAACGACTGGTTTATGGGGAGAAAGTGCCAGGCCTTTTCTCCAGCCGAGCCACTGGATCGGTTTGGACTGTCAGCCTTACATTTCACAGCCAAGAGTCTAACCGGGGTGCTACCAGGGCTTCTGGGTGGTGGTAACAAAGCAGACCAAGCTCACTGCACTGAGTGGATACTGACCCACAGCCACTGCAGGACAGAGGGACACTCACTGCCCCGTGGGTTCCCGAGGCTGTCCTCCTTGACCGGAGTGGAAAGCCTCACTGTTCTCTCTGATGGTGGTATCCATACCTTAAAGGTGTTTCCTTCTCTTGGGTCTCCTTGCAACTGCTTACTGAGTTGCCTGCACGCGTGCGCACACACAGGTAGACACACCTGGCTGTTGCTGGCCCTTCTGGCAGCCCTGCACGCTAGTTCCTACCCCAACTTTACACAAGGACACTCGGAGAACCACAGCAAGTTCAGCCTCATGTTCATGCAGCAAGTCCTCCCAGGACACAAACACAGGCCTCTGCCATTGTCTGGAGTCTACCAGAGGGCAAGGGCAGCCAGGCTGCCTGGTGTCTGTTGCAGGCACTGCTCACCCACCCTCTGCATCCTGGCTTGAACCGTCGTCTAGTACCCTGTGGGCTGGCATGCCTGGGAAGTTGAATGCCCGCCCTTGATCTTGTTCCGAGATTGCTGAGAAATCTCACTGGAAGGCAGGGCTTGAGTCACGTTCCCCACTACTTCATTGGACTCACAGAGGGCACCCAGTGGTGGCTAAGACTCCCATCATGCCTTCCCCAGAGTAGCCGCTCTCCGGTCTCTTCTCTAACCCCACATCCCCACCCACCTGCTGCCCAACTGAGGCTGGGGTGCTCAGCCCTGTTTGCTGACCAGACCTGTGAGGCTCTTCCTAAGGGATGGTCCCTGTGGGAGAGCCCCCCCGCTGGGATTCCTGCTACAAGGTAGGCCCTGTGCTTAGGGGTCTTCCGTGAGCAGTTGCTGCGGCCTGGCCGTTTCCAGCCCGGGGCGCTCAGGGTGGGTCAGCCCGTGCTCCCTCCCTCCCTGCTCTAATCGCACGTGGGGCATTGCTCACAGCCCAGCTGGACAGGCCGGACTGCCTGTGAGCACACCTGTTTCTCTAATGACCCCTTCAGCTGCCAGTACAAATGAGGGAGGCACCCCCTGAGGGTGGGCATTGTGCGGCTGCCTCCGGACAGATGTTGGGAAGGGCTGGCAGGCCAAATACTGACAGGGAGGCGGGTCAGGGCAGATATGTCTGAAAGAAACGGGGGGGTCAGCCAGACATTCTGGAATCTGTACCTTAGAAATAAGTATGGAATGTTATAAGCTGTAAGAGCCCCCCCAATAAAACGATTTCTTTTTTATTGCCCCGAGGATCCGCCCTGCCTGCCATCTGGGCCAGTGGATGAGTCAGTATTAGAACAGGGTGAGCCTTCATTGCTGAATCCGCCTCTCAGCCAGTAGAGCAGTCTCCATGAGGGAAAGCGGAGAGCTGGGCCTGGTACCCTTCATGTGTCTGTCCGTCAGTCAGAGAGAGGATGGACGGCATGCCTACTCTGCAGTGTCCCTTGACCCGAGGGCACTCGTGGAAACTAACTACGTGCCCCGAGGTCCTTGGGGAGCACTCACTACGTGTTTTCTTACTAGACTTGGAAGAACAGAAGGGAAGGAGCAGACGGCCTGGCCACAGGCCTATCTAGGAAGTCAGACGGCGCTGACCAGCTCGCCTTTCCTCAGGACCTGGTGTCCTAGACCCCGAGCCATTAGGATGTGAGTCCCAGGGCCCAGGCGGGGCAAAGCAGCAGGAACTGGAGGGGGGCTGGGGCGTGGGGTGGGTGAGTCAGCAGCTCCCGGTCTGTAGGAAAGTCAACTCACCAAATAGCCAGTGAGCAGCAGGAGCTGGCTCGGCGGAGCCCTGGGTGCTGGTCACAAGGCCAGGCGTGTTAGTGCCCGTAGTTGCCCAAGTCCGTGCCCACTCATGAGGAGCCTGCCAGTAGAACCCAGTGTGCTGTGGGGTTTTCGGTGCCGAGACCTATCAGAAGCACGGCACAGGCTAGCTCCCGGGGTGCCGGGGCGTGGGTTCTCCTGGAAAGTGGCACCACTCAGGGACCGTGGTCAGATCACAGGGCCCCAAAATCAAAATCCCATATGGGCACAAAGGGAACCCACTATGAATCGTCCTGTGTAACAGCAACCCCAGAGACACCCTAGAGCCCAGAGGGAATGTGACCCCCGGCAGGGTCCTACCCGGCCAGCAGCATTGCCCCTGAAGACAGACAGTGTGGCTCCTGAGAGCGAGGAGCCCCGTGTTTGGTGCGGGTGAATGGTGAGCCATTGACACCCTACTGCCCTCCACTACTTTGCCCTGTGAGGGAGGGGCGCCTTCACAGCTGGAGGGAACGCCGTGCTGAGCAAGACCAGCCAGTTCTTCAGCCAGAGGGTCTGCCCCGGGCAGCCAGGACTTAAGTGAGAGGCCAAGGCCCTGGGGTTTGTTCGGGGACAGTGTTTCAGCACAGCCTTCTTTTACCCAGCTGGTTTGTGGGCCCCACCTGACCCCTCAGTTCTAAAGAGGAGCCGACCTGTCCTGACCGGACATGGCCACCGAGGAGGGCTGAGTGATCTGATGGCTAGTGTGTAGGCCCCAAGCGAACCACAGCCCGAGGGTTGTTGTTCTGGAGCTCAGTCAGAAAGGGCGCGTGTCATCCACCGCCCGAGGCCACCACGGCCAGCAGGAGGCCCAGGGCGAGAGGAAGAGGAAGGCTACTGGGCAGTGAGTTTGTCTTGCCTCAATCGCAGCTCCAGGAAGTGCCTTAGAAGCTGAAGTCCATTCGGCGGCGGCGCGTGGAAGAAAGACCTGGTGATGCATCGGTGTCCCTGAAAGCAGCCCTTCAAGGGCACAGTGCTGCTCGGGACAGTCCCGCCCAGAGCAGAAGCTACTGGTTTTGTTTGGGGGTGAGGTTTCTGAATATAGGCGACAGTTGCCCTCTAGTGGCTTGGCTTTTATTCCCTGCTATTCTCAAGCTTTTTTTTTTTTTTTTTAAGTGAATTCCCCAGTAAGGCCTTTAACAGGACTTGCAACAAACAGTTAACATGTTATCGCCTACCTGTTCACACCCTCTCCGCCCATCTCAGCTCCCTTCGAAAGGGCTTCCATCAGGACTGGAGTCCACTCTGGTTCTCTGGAGGAAGAGGACTGTGAACATTCAGGAAAGCTGGGAGAACCAGCTCTGTTTCCCAGGATTTCTTTCACCGTTTGGTATTTATCTCATGAATAGTATTTGTGCTTTGGACCTGCGCCTCCATGACCTAGTACCACCAGGACACCGTCGGGGTTGTATCGTCTCACCATACTTAATCTGAGCAGCTCATCAGAGAAGCTGGTTGACAGGAAGAAGAAGGGCACAAGGATTAGAGGAGAGTTTCTTAATAGCCTGCCGACGGAGGTAACACCACCTTGCTTGCTGAAAGTGAGGAGGAACTGAAGCACCTGCTGGTGAAGACCTAGGACTGCCCCCTTCGGTGTGGATTACAGCTCAGTGTAAAGAAGCCCAAAGCCGTCCTCACAGCTGGACCAGTCACAACACATACATGGAGTCGAGCGCAAGTGGTTGAGGTTTTTGTCTTCCTGGGATCCATAGACGATGCTGGTGGATCGGAAGTCATGAGGCTGAAGGACACACTGCCTGGGCACATCTGCACGCGGCTTCTTTAAAGGGCTGCAGAGCCAGAACCTTACTTTGAAGCCAAAGGTGAGCCTTGTCCATCGCCTCGTTGGCATGCAAGAGGTGGCCATTGAGTAAGGAAGACCAGAGAAGCGATGCCTTGAATTTCGGTGCTGGCAAAGAGTGATGTGTGCACTAAGGACTACCCAAAGGACAAACATGTGCTTTGGAAGAAGTGCCAGCAGACTGCTCCTTGGAAGGCAGGCACGGGGCGGTGTGACCGTTCTGTGTACTGACTTGAGGTCGCCCAGCAGCAGGGCCATCCTCCTCTGGAAACAAAGGGAACACCTCCCTGGCCGCCTCCAGTCAGCTGTGGTTGTTGGCGCACCATCTCTGGTGTTCCTTGGCTTCCTAGAACATCACGGCTCTAGTGTTTGTCTGTCCTCAAATGGTCTGTTTGTGCATCTGTCTGTACGTCTCCTTTTCCTGCAAAAGCGCAGTCATACCTGCTTTCAGGCCTATCCTGCACACCTGTCCTCCTCTTCATCGATTGTATCTGCAGAGACCCTATCTTCAGTCAGGTCATTTTCGCAGGATCTGGATAAATATTTGGGAAGGCACCATTCAACCTGGTCCAACAGCCTTTCTTGCTATATTGGGCCTATGCAGTGGTCTCCGGCTGGAGGCAGGCCCACTGCACAAATGTGTGGATCACAGCCCCCAAGGCCGGGCTGTTTCTGAGGAAGGGCTCGCCACGTGTCAGGGCTGACTCAGGCCGACTATGCAGGCAGCCCTGGCTGGGCTTGTGAGGGATTGGAGGCAGGAGGTGGGGGGAAGGTTGCCCCAGGGAGGCTCCAAACACCAGCCTCCACTACCACCCCTTCAACGTGGGGCGGACCTCCCCAACGCACAGTAGCAGTGGGGAGAATGAGCCCAGGGAAGCAGGCTGGGCTGCAGAAAGCGTGGCCCCAGGGCTACGGCAGTGCGGCCAGTTCTGAGCCCAGCCCTTGTGGAGAACAGAGGCCTCTCCCTGTGCCATGCCAGCACAGCCTCGCAGCAGGTCGGCAGCAGGATTTGTGTGCGTCTGTGAGAGAAGCCCGCACTCAGGGAACACAGCCAGTGTGCCCTCCGGTGTAGATCTGCCTGCCGTTCCACACATACTCCCCGTCTTCCTCCTCTGGACTTCGTCTGTCTGCCCTCCGCCTGCATCCTGAATCGACAACCGTTTGCAGCTCCACACAGGACTGAGCCAGTGATCATGGGTCCCTCAGGCTTGCAGCGTGCTGGCTGCTGCTCAGCCGGGCCTTCTCAGCAGAGGAAGCTCACGTGCAACCCTGCTTGCACAGCCCTCGTGGCCGCGCCAGGGCACAGGTGTGCACTGGGTGACATGGCAGTGGGAGCGTCGTCCAGGGTGGGCTCGAGCTACAGGTGCCACTGGTGCAGGGCTGCTGTTGCTTGTGCCCTCGCCGCTTTGGTGTGGTGCTGTGAACAGCAGAGGCTGCCTGGCACACAGATGGGCCTGGCCCGGCAGCTGAGTACTGGCTAAGCACGAACCAGTGCCGGCACACTGGTGGGCCTCTCGGGCCCTCGCCTCCCGCAGCCACATGGAGAGCCGAGTGCTCAGGCTCATCTTCCCCGAGCCGGCCTCTTAGGAAACCCTCAACGGTAGGTGAGGCGGAGGCGAGGCAGGGCAGAGCAGATGGTCCCCAGGGCTCTGGGGAGATGGGAGAGCCCTCCAGGGCTGTTGAGAAGGCTGCCAGCAGTTGGTGAAGGAGCTTTGCTGCGTGGGAGAGCTCCCTCGTCGACAACCTCACACAGGGCCGAGTCGCTGCTTGTTCCTGGATGTAGGTAAGCTGCTGCTGGCGAATGGCGGTGGCTGGCCTCTGAGGCCTCTTAAGATCGTGCAGTCAAGAGGAAGAGGTGTGTCTGATTCTGAGCTGGTGCTGATGGAAAAACACCAAAGTGAGGGTAAGCTGCAGTGTGGCATTGTTTCCACAAGAGGGTGCTAAGACGGTCCCTGATCAAATGCTGATATGGAGGAAGTTAGCTGATGGCGTAGTGGTTTTGAGTTAAACTGTGACCCACAAGGTTGGCAGTTCCAATCCACCAGCCCAGCCCGTCCCTAGGAAGAAACACAGGGCTTTGTACTCCGGTAAAACAGGTACAGTCTCAGAAACTCAGAGGGGCAGTTGTACACTGCCCTGGCCAGGAGTAAGTCCCTGTTTGGTTGGTCTTTGCTGTGGAGGTTGACAGTGTGGTAGTTCTCTTTGTGCAGGGCTTCTCCACGTCTCTGGAGACTTTTGTGCTTGGACTTGTCAGCTTTGTGAGGGGAGGCGTCCATGGTCTGCCCCTCCTAGCTCACCTTGGGAGCCACTGCTTGGTACACTGCCCTGGAAGCTCCCAGGACAGATTCGCCGCACAGCTAGGAGAGTGGGCTGTGAGAGACGGCTATGGGGCCTAGGTCCACTTCTCTTTGTTCAGCATGCTGCCCAACCCCACCCTCCCTTTCTCTCTCTCTCCCTTCCCCTGACTCCCCCTACCCCCCTCTCACCTCACCCAGTTTCCTGTCCCGGCTGCTCTCATAGCCAGAGATGGGCCAGAGGCGGTGTTTCCCGTTGTGGACTGGAGCTGAGACAGCAAGATTGGGCCGTGCTGGGAACCCACTGGCTGGCTCTGCCTCCGCGAGGTGGGAGGGCAGCCGTTTGTTTTGTCGCCACTGGTCTGCCTCTCAGGAAGTCCCATCTGCGGGGCCCTGGCTCTGGTTCCCCACCCACAGAGTCTGCCCTAGCTTCCAGGGTGGAAGGACGCCCCAGACATTCTTGGGTCAGCTACAGGCCCTAAGACCTCAGAACCCTTGTGCTGCCAGGTAAGTGATTGTGTCCGTGATTGTCTCTTCAGGGACAGCGCGTCAAACTCGCTAACCCCCGATGACAGCGAAGACATGCCTGTGGGCCAGGACACTGAAGTCTGCCTGCTGAGGTCCGGAGAGTTGATGTGAGTGCCCGATCACTGAGTGGACCTCCCTGAGCATCCCGTTGAGGGAGGGCCACCCAATAGCAGTGTCCTTCCCGTCATCACAACTGGCGAGGACCCTGGACACAGGCCCTGGGTGTCAGTGATGGCCTGACTTTTGTCCTTTTTCTTTGAGGTGTAATTGACACGCGGGGCACATCCTCATTGATGGTGGGTAGTACTTGAACTTTGACAAGCAATACAGTCATAGAACAACAGCCCCACCACCCTAGAAACTGTCTCCCCGCACGCAGACTTCTGTTTTGAAAATAACCACCCTTCACTTGAAGGACTGAGGTGCACAATCCTATCTTGAATCCCCTCACATGCACGCAGACGCTGGGTAGTGAATGAGGAAGGCGTGAGAACGGATTGGTCGGAATGGTGGCATGGAAGTAATAGCATGCTCTTGTGGAGGAAGAAGTGCAGCCGGGTTTCTCCTCACAAGCCAGGATGGTGAGCCTTTGCCTCATCGGTGAGCAAAACAAAGTCCCTTGCCGTGGGAGACCGCGGCGACAGGCAGTAAACGTAGATTCACTAAAGTCCAGCACGTGAGGAGTTCTGGGGTGGGGTTTGCTGCAGGACAGTGGGGGGGGGGAGCGGGCGCGGGCACTGACCGTTGTAAAGAGGACGGCACTCAGCACGTGTGATGCGGAGAGGACAGTCCTGACGCAGACACAAGGCCGAATAGAGAGGACTCCAGCGAAAAGACCCCGCGGCAGGGACCTGCGGCTCACGAACTCTCGCTCTCTTTCTCTGTGTTCTTAGCGGGTCATTTCTAGTCTACCTTCAGGTTGGCTGATTCCTTCCTCCAATGTATTCATTGTGTTCCGTCAAGTAAGGTTGTCTTTGAGCATTGTTGATATTGTTCCTCCTCTCACCAACAGCTTTGGGTGTTCCCAGCCGTCTCTACGGCTTTAGAAGCAGAGAGCTCTGGGCAACACCCCTTCCTTACCTGCTGTGCAGTCTTGGGCAAGTCACCTTACTTCTCTGAGCTTTAGCTTCCTCGCTGGTGTTCACGGGGACAGTAGTTATTTTCTACACGAAGGGCAGCTTTGTTGGTGTAGCAAAGTACCGACTTTGGGTCAGACCTGGGTGAGCGCAGCCACGTCTTCTTAATCTCTGTGGCTCTTCATCCCCTCGTTTGTGAGTGGGAACAGTGGCGCCTCCCACACGCAGCATGTACAGTCGTCAGGAACCGGACCTGGGGACAGGATGCTAAGGGAATGAGTGGCTACTCTGCCGAGAAGCCTGTCCTGTGGGTCTGAGCCAACCCGCTGCCTCAGGAGGGGCCTGGGGATGGAGGGGGGCAGTGCTGCATCCAGTTCATCTAGGGATGCAGCCCTCACACTGGTTGGGGGACAGACACAATTACGCTTGTTTTGCCGGGGAGGACACCGGCTTATAAGAGATTGAAGCCCCGCAGCATGTAAGAAGAGGGATGGGCACTGGACCCAGGTGCTCCTGACTCGACACCCCACATCGTACTCGAGGGCTGCTTCTGCCAGGCGGCCCCAAAGCAGGGGACTCACTGTAAACCTTTGGAAGAAACCCTTCTTTACCTGCTGAGTGTAAAGATGGGTCATGAGCTGGTCTGAGACATACATGGCTCCAAAGCCCATGAGCTTTACATCCAAGTGAAGGTATGGGTGTCCATTGGGACTGCTCTCACAGGTCCACGCTGCCATCCCGTGGATGCTGGACCCCATGGGTTTCCGCAATTACAACTCTGGGAGTAGGAAGTTAGTGTGCTCAATTGGTAACCGAGAAGTTGGAGTTTCGAAGTCTATCCAAGAGCCCTTCAGCAGAAAGGCTGGAGTTGGTTTTTCGTTTTCTGTTCTGAAAAACCAACCATTGACAACACGGTTCTGGAGCCTCCCCGTCTGAGGCAGAAGCCTCCTGAAAGCCCCGGCCACCTGCCCTGTACTCTCCTCCTTTCTGGAGACCCCACCTGGTTTCCTATAAAGTCCATGGGGAACCTGCAGAACTTCCCAGACAACCAGCTGCAAGGGGGCAAGAAGGTGACAAGGTGGCAGATAGACACCCACCGCAGGGTGTCCCAGGCAGGCATGACTGACTGCCTATGGGGTGCCCCCACCACCACCCCACCTGCCCGGCCCTCCATGAATGGTTAACATAAAGAAATACTTCGTCTTCAGCAGTGACGTCCCCGAGGGCTCCCAGAGCCTCTGCCAGGGTGGAGGGCCAGCCTGGCCTGTCTCCTCTGGAGGTGCCCAGCAATGGTTCTCCCCATCCTTACTAATACATTTCCACCCCTTCCCCAAGTGCACCCACACTGGACCAGCCGGCCTCGTCTTTTCTCCTGGGACCAGACTGTGGGGGTTGTGTGTGTGTGTGTGGGTGTGGGTTCCATGCCCTCGTTGCAGCCCCCACAGGGCTGGGCTGGGGCTGGGGCTGGGGGCTGCAGAGGCCTCACTGAGAGGGAAGGGCCCGCCTGACCACATTCCCTGCGCTTCCGGCAGGGGCAGCCTTCCACAGCAAAGGGCCTCTGGCTTCTCGTTTGTTTTCCTTTCCCCTGGCTGTGGCTAAGGGTTGGTGCTAAAAGGGGACAGGAAGGAGGGCTGCCCACCCTGTGGTCTGGGCCTTGGGGAGATTTAAATAAAGAACCCCAGCCTTTTTAAAAAAGAAAACACAGTTCTGTTTGACACCCATGAGGCCACCACAAGTCAGAGTCCACGCTACATCTTCAGTGGATGGACCAGCATGTAGTAGCGTCTCAGTAACTACCTGTCTGTCCAGTGTTCTCCCACAGCTAAGCAATGTGGTCTGGCTCCTTTACCCTGGCTTTGCCCTCCCATTGCCCTCCAGGGTCTCAGGCGCCCTGGGAGCCCCCAGCCACTCAGGACGGATTCTGTCCACCTAATTGGAGCTCGTCTGCATTTTTGCTTCAGGATCAAAGTGCCCCTCACGGTGGATGAGCTGGTCAACTTTGGGGAGGGCCACAGGGAGCTGTTTGTGCGCTCCAGCACCTACAGCCTCATCTCCATCGCTGTGGCCGAGGCAGGCCTCATTGTCAACTGGGTCTTCTCCTCCGACCCCAAGAGCATCTCCTTCAGCGTGGTCTTCCAGGAGGCAGAGGACACACCACTGGATCAGTGTAAGGTGAGGTCACTTAGGTGGGCCTTTCCCAGAAGAGCTGGGTCCTTCACTGTCCTGCCAGCAGGCCGTCCCTCACTCTGACGGCCTCCTAAGGCCTTCTTCTGAGGAAAGGCCAGGGTGGAGGGTCTCCTGAGCCATGCCAGGCAGAGCAGGGACAGCCCTGGGGAGGAGGGCCGGCACTCCTGCCTGCAGATATCTGAGGTGCTCTCCAGCGGATCCTCATCTGGGCTCATTGCTGTTCCCCACAGTGGGCGCCAGGGCGCGGGAACATGTTTCTTTCTTGTACCCATTATTTGTTCCTCATGAACCCCCAGCCTCCCTTCCCATAACCCTAAAGAAATATTAATCTAGTTACTATCTCTGTGGATTTACCTATCTAGTATTAAGTTTGGGGAGTGGGGGGCCAGTTCCCACCGCTAATCCTGGGTTCAGTAAGCACAATTGTATGGTTGAGATCTATATATATATATTATATTAGAGTCATCGAGAGCATGAGCGATACAAGAGATATTATAATAATGCAGTCAGACACATTACGTGGTAGCGTTACTCACCTCAGCCCAGCTTGGTGGTCCACGTGGAGAGGGGTGGAAGGGAAGGAGGAGGACTGGAGAGGAAGAGAGGCGAGCGGAACCAGCGAGAGAGCTGTCTACTGCTAGCCCAGGCTTATATGCCTTTTGGGGGCATGCAAGCCCACTAATTACAGGTAAAGACATACGTCACAGGAAGGGTTTGCACTGTAGGTTATACAGCAGTGAGGGGGTGGTCTAGGGACATAGACGCAATAAGAGGAGGAGGGATTGGGGGTATACATGTGACAAGATGGGCGGATACTAGAATTATGATGGCACTTTAACTTTGGATGTCACATGTCACAGAGCCTGTTTGACTTGTTCCTGGCTGACTGATAGAGACCATTATCAGTAGGATGCGAACTCCTCCTACAGGAGCCTGTCCATTGTTCCCTGCAGCAGTGGGGGAGGGGGGCAGCAGTGTGGCAACTGATCTCCCTCAGGGGAGATGCCTGTTAGCATCTACCTCCCCCCACACCTGTCCTGAATTTCATATAAAGAAAATCATAAATGACAGGAAAACCTCAATCCAAGTGAAAGCAGAAGCTAGCAGACACTTGTTAGGCCCCATCAGATTGGTTCTAGCCCATAGCTACCCTGTGCACCATAGAAGGAAAAACTGCCCATCCTGCGCCGTCCTCACAGTTGTTCCTGTGCTTGGTCCCCTTGGGGTAGCTCCTGTGCTAATCTTTCTCCCAGAGGACCCTCTCTTTTGCCGCCCCTCCACTTGGGTCAAAAAGGGAAACAGTGCTAATATGTGCAATTTTAACCTACTTGTATCTGCAGTCATCTGCTTTCCATTGACTCAGTAGCCTAAGGGAGTTCAATGGCAGCTTAATCTGCAAGGAGACTGCAAATGGGCTTTGGATTTTCTCTGCAAACCGGTTTCTGAGAATTGACACTCTAATGCAATTCCCTCCTGATCTTGAATTTCATAATTTACAATCCTTGGATCACATAGTCTAGTGTGCTTCTTCCTTGAAGACTTGCGTGACATCTCACTTAGATGGCTTAAGCCTTTAAGCCCCCAGACACCATACCTTCTGATAGCCAGGCACTGTCTACTTTCTTTGCCACATTTTGCTGTAGGGCCATATCTTCATTGCTCCCTTCATGAGGGCAAACACTGAGCAGGGCCACCTGAGATCAAAATTCCTTCATGTATCTAAAGTGTATCTCCCTGGTCCACTTTAGAGGCAGTATTATCAGCTTTTATCAGCTTATAGATGTAAAGGCAGAACTGAGGAACAGAGAGGAAGACAGACGGACATAACTGACAGGACAAGGCAGAGCAGAAACAGAAAATAGCTTTATTGGGGGGGGTGGGGGGAGCTGCCCGTGACCTGGGCTGACAGGTCAGGGAAGTCTTACTCGGCAGCTGGGGGAGAGGGTTTTTAAAGGGGTGGCAAGGAGTGTATGGCAGTTAGCATGTGGGGTCTGGAAACTGGGAGGATTGCTTGTGGACTCCTGGAGGCTTTCTTTGAACATCTGGTTTCACTGGTTATCTTATCTGGCGGTTATCTTCTCTGGTGACTGTCTTCTCTGGTGATGCCGCAGCTGACCTTTGGGATGTGCAGGGCCGCACTTCTCTGGTGGTTATCTTCTCTGACGCAGGCTGCTGCTGACCAGGCTGCTGCTGACCTTTGGGACGTGCAGCACGTGCAGGGCCTGGACCTGCTTCAGCTTAGTCCAAACGGGTGCTGCCTAGTTCAGACCCGACCCAAACAATTGAGAAATACTTTAAGAAACCTCCATGAGACATTTGGTTAATTAGAATAATAGTTTCATTAATTTAGCTAATGGCATA